GATTCAGTAAATTCACATCAATCCGTCACTTTTGGAGAATGCAACAGAATATCTAGTATCAAATGTGATCCATCCCTGATTCAGCAGATGTGAATATTCATTAAATTGGCCAAATGAAAATGTGTACTATAATGAGAACTGGAGTCCTGCACCAAAATCATATAGTAGCTGCTGTTGCTCAAGTGAAAGTTCGTACAAATAACTATTGAAGGATATTCTGTAGGATCTTATAGACAGTTGAACAGGGCATATCCAACACCTGTGCTACATGGCAAACATTAGAGCTGCTTTAAAGTTTGAAGCTTTGCCCTTTTTCATTTGAACAACAGCATCCTCTACTACCTCTATAAAAATAGGTTTTCTTTCTCTTCCAGGACAAACAATGATCATGTTGCTTCAAATTTTATTATCATTTTTTGGAATCCTTTAGCAATGACTGGATCTTTTCAGAGTCCAAAATGTCCAAAAAGCAGCTTGTGCTGAATTGATATTTTGATAAAAGAATTTAACACACAAAACTCAAATTTGAAAATTATAAGTGTCAACCTCATTGAATACAATTTTTCCACTAATATTTTCAGATATTATACAGTATGAAGACCATAATATGGACAGCCAGTATCTGGTATGATCTGCTATCCAGACCTCTACCCAATAAATAAATAACCCAATAAAAACCCAATAAAAAATTCCCCCTACATTTATTAAATCTAGGAGTAGTGAATATAATACTCAACAGAGTAAGCAAGTGTGCTGTAAATGCGATTTTTCTCTGAACCGAGATTCTTTCATGTCATTTTCAAACATCTGCTGGCGAGGGAGATTTGTGGTGGCCACATGACAATACATTGATTAATGGTGTATTGGCATTGGCCAGGATCACATTTTTTACCGTCAAGTGGTTGTGGGGAGCAGGGACAGCACTTCCCACTTTGGCATCCTGTGCCCTATGGAGGAGGGTCCTAAATTCTACTGACCAGTTGTTGCTAATGCTCACTTGTCTCTCCTATAGTCAGCCCAAGCCCATGAAATTTCTTGGCAACAGCCTTGAGCACCATACAAATGACAGTACAATTTAGCTGAGTTCTACCCCCAATTCTGATGGAGAGCAACCCGGGGAAACGGGTCAGAGGGTCCCCCATCCCTCTTTCCCCACCACCAAACCTCTCAAGAGGACTTTCGGCTCGCTGCATATTTAGATACATTTACAAACATCCATGCCTTCTTTGAGATTCAAACGCGGGCCCTTCGGCACGTCAGTTTGCAGTGCTAACCATTATACCAGTTCATACCTGCCAACTTTTACGAATTTTTCCTAATTTTTATGAAAATGCGTTTGTTTTTACGATTTTACGATCGTAATCCATTTTTTACGATTTTTTTCCTTTTTCAAGTGTTTTTAGTGATTTTTGTCAAAATTTTAGAATTTTTCGCCAATTCAGCGATTTTTTCCAATTGCATCGTGTTTTACCGCCATCTACCGACTCCTTCGAATCCAGTAACCTGCGGTTTCTCCCAACTTGCCGCTTAACCAGCCAATCCAATGCGCTGAACTTGTTTCTCCCACACTTTTCTTTGTGGACGCCAGATTATTTTTTTCGCGTTCGCTTCAGCAGCAAGGGAATTACTCAGCAAGCGTGGATTGTCGCATTCTGTTTTTTTTTTTTGTTTGTTTGTTTGCACGTGCTAGGAATTTTCTTAATACGTCGTTGTTACGAAATGAGTTCAAAAAAACCGTACTCTCAATATTTTCGGCCTGCCTACAAAGCCGAATTTCCAACAATTAAAGAATCCCTCAAAGGAAATAACTATGCATTTTGTAACGTGTGCGTGTGTGACTTCATAATAAGTCTTGGTGGAAGAAGCGACATTGTGAAGCATGTTAAGTCTAAAAAGCATGAAGTTAATGCTTCGGCTTCGACAACGTCAAAGAAAGTGGATGATTTTTTTTCAAATTTGGCTACAAATTTGGATGCCAATGTCATTTTGGCAGAGTGTTTGTTTACTGCATTCCTCATCGAAGACAACGTGCCGCTAAGCACTGCCGATCACGCCGGTCAACTTTTCAGACGGATGTTTCCCGACTCCATGATTGCTCAGAAATATGCCTGTGCTCGCAAGAAAACATCTTCTATTGTGAACGAAATTGCTTGCAATGCACAAAGTAAAACAATAGCTGCACTCCAGAATTCAGCATTTTCGGTGTCAGTCGATGGCAGCAATGACAGCGATTGGAAGCTTTACCCCATCGTTGTCACATATTTCTGTGATGTTTCTGATGAAATGAAAACTCATCTTTTGCGTCTTCCATTGTTAAATGGAGACGCTACAGGGGAAAATATTGCCTCCTTGGTAATTAATGAGTTGAAACAACTTAACATCCCAATATCAAACTGCATTTCATTTGGTGCAGATAATGCTCATGTCATGGTGGGTGACAAAAAGGGTGTAGCCTCTTTCCTCAAAAAAGAACAAAATGAATTAATTGTTATTGGATGCCCATGCCACTTAATTAATTTGGCAGCAGAAAAAGCTGCAGCTGCTTTACCATTAAATATTGACCAGCTTCTGATTGATGTGTTTTTCTATCTGGAAAAAAGTGTAAAAAGGAAAGAAAACCTTAAGAATTTCCAAGAACTGTGCTCTGGTGAAACAAGAAAAATTCTGAAACATGTATGCACGAGATGGTTATCCTTAGGTAGAGAGCTAGGAAGGTTATTGAACAGTGGGATGCATTGCTAAAATATTTCCATGAAGAGACCAAAACGAAACCACAGATACCATCAAATTTGTCGGCATATAAGATTCCGAAAACCAATTTCGCTTCTAATCAAAATGCTTTAAAAGGGAAAAGCCAACACACAGAATCAAACCCTTTAAAAAGAAAATGCTTAGAAGACTTCTCAAAGGTCAACTTTGTTAAAGAAGTTGAAGGAAAGAAGAAACAGTCTTCTATTAGCCGGGAGGAAAGGATTTTCTATCTTCTTTCTTCGGATTTGAACAAAGCATATTGTAGTTTTGTGTTAAGTACCATTAAGATTTTTGAAAGTGTAAATACCCTTCTACAATCAGCTTCGCCCAAATCTCCCCTGCTTATCCAAATTCTTAAAGATCTTTTGAAAGAACTTTATACTAAGTTTGTAAAACCGTCCGTTGTGAAAAACAGTGTGTTGATTCGTTTTGCCTATAATAGTTTGGCAAATCAAAAGGATGACAATGATCTTATAATTGGAAATCAAACCAGGGAACTTGTAAATTCTTTGAAAGATCATGAGAAAAAAGAATTTTTTCAATGTGTTAGAAAGTACTTTTCCTCAGCCTGTGATTACATTGTAAGGAAGTTTCCTTTGCAAAATGAAGTTCTTTTAAATGCTGAAGTGGCAAATTTGAAACAAATTGAAAATTCATCTTTTGAAAAGATTCGTTTTTTATTGATAAATTTCCTTTTTTGTTAACAATTAAAGAAAATGAATGCCATAATGATGCTTTAGATGAACTACAGAATCAATTTTCTGCTGCACAGTTTGAAGACTTTGCCAGTTCTGGAGAAGATAGACTTGATGTCCTCGTTGGTACCTTAAAAAGAATAAAAAGAGCTGATGGAACACCAAAATATGATAGACTAGCAAGAGTTTTATGTGCTATTCTCGTAATTCCACACACAGTAATGCTGAGTGCGAGAGAGTCTTCAGTGTTGTGAAGAAAAACAAAACTATGTTTTTTCTTCAATTTCACCAAAAACTCTAGAAAACATTTTAATTGCTAAATGTTATGAGGAAACTAATTGTTATGACAGGAAATTTTCCAAAGAATTTTTGGCTAAAGCCAAAAAATGCACTCTAAATTCATTGCAATAATTTTTTTGTGTAACATTAAGTTCTTGTTTTATGTTTCCTAATAAATTTTTTAGTTACTACTTAATTGAGATTTACTAATGTAAGTACAATTTTCTTTTTTCTATTTGTATAAATTGTTATTTTTTTAATATCAGAGCATGATATTAATTCTTCGTGTTCTTCTGAATTTTGGAGAAATCTTCTGAATTTGGGGGAGAAATCTGAATTTTTATCTAGAGGTTGGCAGGTATGCCTGTTGGGCAGCACTGTCCAGTACCTCGCTAAATTCTGAAAGTTTTGCTGACCTTAAATTCTGCTGCCCAGTCCCTCCCCTAAATTCTAAAAATTTTGCCATTTATATTTAGTCGAAAGAAGAGTTATTCCAGAAGGGCTCTTGGTCTCAAAACTGCATTTTGTGTTGAATCACTTTTCCATTTGTTGCCGCCAAATATAATTGCCTTGTATTATATTTAAAAAATTAAATAATGAAGAATCTGCATGAATATATGTATGTGTCTCACATTGTGAAAAAAACAATGGTACCTAAAGCCATCAAATTTTGAATAACGTAGTCTGCTACCCGAATGTGGGCATCAGGAAGCATAAATTTTGACTTTTATTACCTAATTCATAATAGCTGCTGTATGGTATTGAAAACATTTACACTACAAAGTGCTTCACAGCAATATACCCTTTAGTGATGACATTTAGTTTTTCTCTGTCTTTCTCATTCTTTTATTATGTCATACATGAAATTTTACACATTTCTGATCAATAGTTACAATTGTGCAGAAAACATTAATTATGGACACTCTATACTTTGTCAAATACTGCATTTTCTGAGATGTTATGATTTTATCTTTCTAAATTATTTAGTTTTAATCTTTCAGTTAGTATTGGAAGATTTGATGTTTTTCTGTATCTATCTGTTGATGGGAGTGATATACCTAGTGTTTTTCTCTGTATTGATGTATAGATCTATTTTTTTAATTATGTTAATGGAGATGACACTGATTTAGTCAGAGATTTATAATTTCAATTTATTATTTGGGGGACATTCCTGATTTATGTATGTTTTGGCTGTTGTAATATATTTCTTCATTATGTAATTTTATTAGAGAATTTTCTTCAAAATATAAATATATCTATTTTTATTAATTCTAGCTCTTCTCAATGAAGAAAAACAGAATAACAAGGAGTTCAAATAAATTGAATTCAAAAACTATGAAAGTAAGCTGAATATACTTATAAAAATATTGTATTTTGTCATTTTGAACTTTAGGAATGAAGACAGGAGTTTGCTTAATACTGATTATTCGGAATGACTGATGAATTGGGTATTCAAAATTTACCATTACTCTTGCAAGTTATGTGTGAACAGAAAGCTTTTCAGGTTTTAGGTATTAATATTCTACATAATTTCCTTTAGTTACACGAAAGGTGTCAAAACAATCAGATTTTTGCAATGCTTGCTCCAGCATGTCTTTTGTTGGTGTTAACATAGCAATAATAGTGGTTTTAAGATTATACAAAGTGTGACACACAAAAAAGAGACTGGTCCAATAAATCATTGTACTTACAGAATCATTTCTCCGTGACATTATCACCTTCAAAGTAGTTCCCTTCAGCATTCATGCACTTCTGCATTCGGTGCTGCCATTGCTGGTAACCTTCTGAAAAGAGGTTTTTGGAAGGCCCTTCTGGAGATTCTCCATTTTTGCCTGAACCTCTTCAGCTGAGGTAAAATGGTTCCCTTTAAGTAAGATTTAACTTTAGAAAATAAAAAAAAAAAAAGTCGCATGGAGCCAAATCAGGTGAATAAGGAGGATGCCCCATCACAGTAATGTTTTTCCTGGTCAGAAACTGCTTTACAGATAGGGCTGTGTGAGCAGGTGCATTGTCCAGTTGCAACAGCCATCCATCACTCCACAACTGTGGCCCTTTTTTCCCTAATTTTTTTTACAAAGTCTTTTCAATGTAGTAGTGTTTATTAACAGTCTGGCCACTGGGGACCCATTCAATCATGATGATTGTTCTGAGAGCCCAAAGTGGCGCCCAGCACGTTCATCATCTTCCACACTGTCCCTTCCCCCCGTGAAACCGCTTATGCCATTCAAACACGTGCATGAGATAAAGTTTCATCTCCATAAGCATCGGTTAACATTTAAAATGTCCTACATGGCTGCTTTCTTAAGTTTCACAGGAAACTTGATGTTGATTCGCTGTTCGGGTTTTACATTAGATATTTTTCCGTCAGAATGCAGTTACTTTTGTTCACTCAATGACGCAGTACTACTCACTGGTGTGGTCGATTAAGTTAAAACTTACTGCATGTATAGAGGAGGTGTGTGGCATGACATCACCAAAACAGTTGTTGCTAACTCCACTCGGTTTTCAAGTTACACACTTAGTCTTATTATTTTTTATATAGAATATTGATGTCATTTAGGCTTAATAATACCACCGATTCTTTTTGAGAGGTAAATCTGAATTGTGAACAAAATCTTGTGAATATAAATTAGACAGAAGAAATACAAGGCATATAATATGATAAATTTGACTTGCATAGAAAAATTAACTGATGATAATTACTTTGTATAGGTGAATAGAATCGAAAGTGAATTAAGAAGTCTGAAAATACGGAGGAGTGTCATAAAAACTGCTATGCACCACGAAACCATAATAAAAGGGGCAATGTTAATTATGAAAGTGAATTGAAAACTTAGAAGATATGAGGTGATAATAATGTAATTGCAAGAAATATTATGAATCAAACTATGATAGTCTCACAATATAAAAAGCATTACAATATGCGAATGCAAAGAAGCTATGGGAGAAAATAAAAAATGAAATGCTGGCAAAAACAGAAAATATTCAAATCAAATGTAGAATTAGCTCAACTGAAATGAAGCAAGATGAATCTATAGATGATTACATGAGAAGAGCAAAAATTTTAAAAAGCATTCAATTGGTTGATGAAATAAAAGATAAAGAATTAATTTAGTTTATATTAGAAGGGCTTTGGAATGAACTTGAATTTGATATCAAAATAATTAGACAGCAGAGACAAGCATTAAAAGAAACATTAGCAAAAGAAAGCTGGACAAAATCAAAAGATCATGAAGGAGGATGCTTTAACTGTGGAAAATTGGGACATTTAATAAAAGATTGTCTTAATAATAATATGAATGTTTTAGTTGTGTGGAAAATTAGGCTGAAATATTTAATAAATAAAACCTCTAGAATGTCAAGTAAGGAAAGAGATTATGAATCAGCTGCATGTGTGTATGAAGAAATAATTCTGAGAAAATAGAAGGAACTTCATCTTAAATCAAAATAGAAGTGATGAAGTAAATGAAATAGAAGAAGAAAACAGTTGAAAAATTAAATGGATTATAGATCTAGGAGCCACATCTTACACGGTAAGAAGTAAAAAATATTTACCAGTTTTAAGGATGAAGAACAACAAATATTGACAGCTGAAAAAAAAGCTATGATCAAATCAATTGCTATTAGTAACGTTAATGTGTAAACTGATAGAAATAAGAATATTTTGAGAAGATAATGCTCTGCAAGTACCGACTTTAAGTGCAAATGTATTTTCAGTACCAAAAATTGTAGATCATGATTTAAAAATATTTTTTACCAAAACTAAAGCAGAAGTGATCAATAAGCATAGATACATTCTATATATAGTTAGCAGAAATGGAAATAAATTTTAACTTGAAGGAAACACAATAGAAGAAGCTGAAATTAGTACTACTGATGATTATACTATGGCATCAGAGACTAAAAACTCATCAGTCATTGGATTAGAAAATGTAAAAATTTACAAAAACAATTGTAAACTTTGCAAATTAAGGAAGATGACCTGAACTTCTTATAGAAGTGTGAAATTCAAGTTATCTGAAGATATTTTAGAATTATGGTGTATAGATTTAGTTGGACTTGTCGAGAAGTGAATAAATGGAAATTGTTACTTTCTAAAAGTAGTAGATGATTACAGTTGAGAAAATGAGTGGAACTGTCAAATCTTTCATTAAACATATCATTCATGAAAAATGGAAAAGAAACTAAAGAGTATCCATACTAATAAGGGGAATAAATTCATCTGAGCTAAAAGTATAAAAGAATTTTTCGGAAAAATGGGATTTAAATATCAACATACAACCTTATTTTCCAGACAGTAATGAAAAAAACTGAACATTTTAAGTGTACTATAATCAAAACTGCTAGAACTGTGTTAATTGATGCAAAATTATTGATAAGAGTTTTAGAGTGAAAGTGTTAAAATACCTGTACATTGTGAATAACAGGAGTCACAAAAATGACATAACATTTACACCTTGTGAACTATATCTGTGATGCAGCCTTAACATTACGTATTGTAAAAAATTTGTATGTGAAGCATATGTTCACATAAGATGAGAAAAGGTGGGACAATGTATTTAAAAGCTCAAATGGGAATTATGATAGGTTATAGCATTAATAGAAAAGCATAAAATTTATATTCCTGAACTAAATAAAATTCGAAACGTAAGAGTTGGAAAATTTAATAAGCAGAAACTCAGATAAACTTTACTGAAAGGAAATAATTTAAAATTCAATAAAAATCAAATAGTAGAAGAATTTATTTTCTCCTAGGAACAAACTAATGGCAGTGAAAACAATTCTGGAAAAACCATCAGAGCTAAGATAATATAACAGATTAAAAATCTGAGGAAATGATGAACAAAACGAAAACAGTTCACTTGAAATGTCAATACTTTTAAGTAATTGAAGAACCTGTAAATAATAGTCATGAAAATTCTATACAGAAGAGACCAACGAGAATGGCAAAGTGAACAGAAAAATCAAAAGATTATGTAGTATACAGTACAAATGAAGAATTACCTAAGACATACCATGAAGCTGTGGAATTGGCTGAAAGTCAGTCTTGGCTACGTGCAATGATAGAACTGAGTTCAGTGGAGCCTAATGAAGTTTGAAAATTAGTTCAAAGACACATTGATTAGAAGGTTATTAAAAACCATTGGATATTCACAAAAAAGGAGGAAAGGGATAATTTAGATACAGTTTACAAAGTAAGACTAGTAGCCACTGGATTTAACCAAAGAAAAGGAATCAACTATGAAAATGGATTTAGCCCAGTAATGAAACTTGCAACCTTTACTATATATGAGAAATTCAAGATACGAGGAAAGTATGAGCAAAACATTTGTCTCTAAATATGAGCATTGACTTGAGTAACGAGCAATGAGCCAGGCTGTTTGTATGCGTGATGCCATTTTCCGATCCGGCTGAATTAGGGGAACCCCCTCGTCAGACCTCTCAGTGTTCTTTGATCGACGTGTTTGTGTGCTTGTGAGTCATTTATTACATTTAATGTGAAAATAATTATTTCACGATGCCTCCCAAGAAGATTGTTGTCTCAGATAGTGCTGCAAAGAAAAATAGGGAAGCTGTGGCCATTGAAATTAAGGAAAAAAATCGTATATAAACAAACGTGATGTAAGAGTGACGGAATTGGTGAAGACATATGGCCTTTCGACATCAACGATTTGCACTGTTCTAAAGAAGCAGGAAGAAACTTGATGTAGTCAAAGGAGTTACTGTTACTTCCAAGCACCATACAAAACTCCTAGATTTTTGAAAAGCTGTTGTTGGTGTGGATTAATGAGAAACAGCTAAAAGGTTGGCATTGGAAGCTATCATAAAGGTAAACTACAGTTATATTATTTACCAGTGTTATTTATTAGAAAAATTGATTTTTATGTTGATATTTTTGGGGATGTGGAACGGATTAACTGGATTCCCGTTATTTTTAATGGAAGAAGTTTGTTTCTAGATACAAGAAATTCACTATACGAGTTCAATGCTGGAGCGAATTTAACTCATATCTCAAGGTTTCACTGTATTTACATGGATATTTGTATAAACCAATTTACATGGGACAATAACCTGGATTTAGCTCTGATCCCAGTGAATTATAATTTGTTAAAAAAGTGCATATGGATTTCCCCAATCAGAAAGATGCCGATATGAAGAATTTGATGAGATTAAAATCAGATCCTGGCATTTATATTTATAAAGATAAGCTCAATTATGTTATTGTAGCAATATATGTGGATGACTTAATGATTATTAAAAATTCAAATTCTGAAATAGAGGACTTCAACCCTCAACTTTCTAAATCATTTGCTTTATGAGAAGTCACTAAAACATACAAATTTTTAAGAATTGACATCAGACAAGACTGTAGAAAACTTATTCTCTGTCAAGAAAACTATGTAACTAAATTTTTAAAAAACTTAGAAATGAATGAATGTAAACCTCTCAAGACTTCAGGAATATTGGGTGAAAATCTTGATGATAGAGCTTTTTCTCTTCCAGAAAACAAAATATCAAGAAGGTTCAGTGATGTGCTTAGCAACAGGCACAAGGTCAGGCTTAGCTGTTAAGTAATTTGGCAGTATAATTAACATCTCAGCGAAAGACACTGAAAAGCAATGAAAAGGCTATTTAGATACATTTAAAGAACATAAAATACATGTTTAATACATACTTTAGACAATGGAAAATTAAATGCTAGTTGAGATGCAAGTCAGTGTACCGCTAAAGGTGGAAAATCATTTTGAGGATTATTTTTTTTAATTAGGTAAAAATTTCGTAAATTGGAAGTGCAATGAAGAATAGTTGCTCTGTCTGCAGTGGAAGCTAAACTCGTGGCATTTTGAATGGGCATGTGAAATTAAATAGTACAGCTATTTACTTGAAGAATTTAGACAAGATGATCTAATTGATAAACCAATAGAAATTAGAACAGACTGTCAAGCATCAATAGATTGGATTTTAAAAAAAGTAGTGGTTCTAGGCACATGAACCAAAACTATTTCTTTGTAAAAGATGAATAGGATGTTAATCAATCATTTCTTAATTTGTGTGTGCGTAAAATGAAGCAGACATTTTAACAAAATACTTACTTTTAAAGTGTAGACATAGCTGAATAATTAGTCTTTAACACAAATAAGTAAGAAATATATTATTTGCTGTTAAAAGTACAATGCTAAGTCTTGATATCTGCAGCATTATTTTTTTTTTTTTTCCTTGATGTAAAAGATTGAGTTAATGTACCTAGCATCTGTAGAGAAAGTTAAGGTTTTGGAGAATTTGGTAATGCTTGCTGTGATAAAATATTCTTTAATAAAGCTTTTCGGTACTTATGGAAAATCCCGCCGACCATTTTCGTGTATTAAAGAAAAGACACAAAAAATGGAAAAGTCTTCTTCAAACACGCTGGGTTTGGTGTAACCTTGATTACACGTGTTAGTTATTATTCTTGAGTAAAGACTCCTTTCCTCCCTCTATCACGCATTTTTGGAAAAAAAAAAAATTTTAATTTGGGACCAGCCTATTACAGAAGAGCATGCTGTTGAATATTTCCAAAGTTATGGAATCTTACTGGCCTTAAAAAAAAATGCGTTAGTGGCCATGAAATGGTGCTTTATTTAAAAACTGAGTAGCAATGGCGTTGCAACGTTAAGGCTTCCACGAAGCGAGTGTCAATTAATGAAATATAAAATGATTTAATGAAAAATTAAATATAAATAAATGATAATATAATAAATTTGAAAGAAAAATAAGAATATAATTTTGGGGGGGTTGGCGCGATTGGTGCCATCTTTTGTGTTCGACGGGATTTTCCACAAGTACCAGTTTTTTTTAATACATTAGTTTTCGATGTTTCTATTTGAAGTAGATATTGCTTAGAAAATATAACTTTTAGAAATTCATCATCATCTTTTGTTGCATGAACAGTCAAGCTAATAATGGTTGTATTAACATGATCAGATAATTTTTGACATAAACAGTGAAGTTACTTTAATAAATTAATAATAAATAAAAAATAACATTAATTAATAATAATTTAATAAAATAATGAAGTTAATAATACTTGTATTATTATGATGATCATAAATAGAGCTGTAATTCAATTTAATTATGTGAACAGTGTTAAGGCAAACAAATTTTTGTAGTAGTAGTTTTCATGGCAGTAGTAGAGGTTTTAAGATTATATATTTGTAGGCCAAAAATGGCATGATCATAACATTATTATAACATGCTCTAAAACGTAGTGAGTTTAGTAATATTTAATTGATAAATTTATCTCAAGTAAAAGCCTAATTTGTTGATTGTAAAATTGAACCATATTTTTTTAAAGACATTTTTCTGTTTCTTCTCTGTTCAGAAAAATTAGCTTCAAATTTGGAATGTAAAAATTTGCACTTTTCTGCTACCATACCAGGGTTTCACATAAATTCATTTTAGCAATGCTATGAGTTTGCCTATTTTACTAACATAGTGTGCTGCCTCAAACATGTTTTTAGGGTAGTAATTCTAGCACTTGAGGCTTGTGGAGGATATTCAGAAAGAACTAATATGATTATTGTAAATTGTTAATATTTAAAATAAAGTCATGAGTATAGTAATTGTAACTGAATGTTATATTAATATATGTTCCATATAAAAAACATCATTTGCAGTACATAGATCATGTTTGTGATCTCGTTTTCATATATGAACTTTTTTTATGTTTTACTAGGTGATAACTGAAAAATCAAAAGCTGTAAAAAATTGTAGAAAAAACTGTAAAACAACTATTTACCATAAGTACAAAGAAAAAAACATTGAAACTCCTTTGAAATCAGGTATGGTGAGTTTTTGCTTTTTTGTTATAACTGTATAGAACTTTTTAGTCTTAAGTAAGAACATATGAGAATGATTTGCTTTTAAATGTATGTATTTTTACTTCATGCTTCTTCATATGTCTAACTCCTGTTATACTGTATTAGGATGCTTATATAGTGTCTGTATTAACTAAAAATGAATATGCATTGTTTAAGCAAGAAGCATTTTCTGTAAATTTTTATACAATAATCTATATATTTAAGTTAGCAAAAAACTTAATTAAACTTGAAGGCAAAGTGAATTTTTATCTAGATATGTCTGGGAAACAGTTTTCACATAAGAAAAGCAATTTCAAAGAAATTTTGCCTAAACATATTAGCTTTTATTCCTTCCTTGGTAATAGGTTTTTTTTTTTTTTTTTTTTTTTTAAAATATATATCTTTTCTTTTTGTTCCTTTCTGTATGTCTAGATTTAAAAAAATGGGAGGGAAGCAATTCGGAAAACTGTCTTTACCAAATTGATCACATTTTGGTTTCAATTAACAGAAACTAATTTTTAGAAGTACTGTTTTCCATTTTGTACGCTGAAAAATAGTTCTAGGCTTATGCACTAAAATTCTGTGTTTTTTTTTTTTTTTTTTTTTTTTCCCTTGCATAATTTTAAATTTTGGGAAATCGTATTAGTATCTGAGAATTTTCAATCTCTGCTTCTTTAGCATTATTAACAAAACATACTTGACATTTTGTATTACGAATTCTTTTAAGGCATATCAGAGCATTTTTGCAGTCTGAGTTAATATGTCATAATAAAATCATTTTTCCTCTAACAGCTTTTTTATACCAGCAGCTTTAAGTGCTTGATTGGTTTCATTAAAATAGATGTTGGCATTTCTTTTATTAACCCCTTAACTGCCGCGGGCATATATATATATATATATGCCCTTCCAAACTACTATCATGTGCTTTGCACTGCTACCCGTAAAATTATTTGCAAAGCTTTGGAATGCAACACCACAATGACCTTGACAAAGTATGCGAAGGATGTGGGGAGAATTTGTAGAGAGAGGTGTGTCTAAAGCAGTGAAAGTAATGACTGCGGTATTGGCTGGTGTTGTTTGAGTAAAACGTATTTTTTATATTCTGTGTCCTCCATTTTCGTTTACTTTTTGTAGTAGGTTCCAGGAATAAAGAAAGATATAATGGATGTTTCAAACCCATTTGTCTTTTTTGATGAACTGCTTGTGGTTCATATTGTTACTGAAACTAACTCTTTTGTAGACAAGTATATGAACCAACATCTTGCAAACGAAAAATCAAGAACAAAATCGTGGCATTCAACCAGTTCAGAAGAAATGTATGTTTTTTTAGGCATACTGATTTCACAACACTGAAACCTCATATTATACATTACTGGTCTAAAAATTAATTGATCAAAACTTCATTTTAGGGATATTTTTTTATTATAAAAACATCATTTTTATTACTACTTTACATACTTATATCCTTTTATATACTTTTACTCAAAACATTAAATTTTGTGCATTCATTTTTTTCTTTTATTCTTTATTTTGTGAAAGTAAACAGTTTTTAGAAAGTAAAACTTGCATTTATTTTCCCCCTAATACATCGCATAACTACGTGCACCTGTGTGAGAAACTATGGCACTGGGAAATGAATCTTGTGCGTTTTCCACGGCAGTTAAGGGGTTAAAACACTGGCAACATCTTTCCTCTGTGTTCTGTTTCATGTCTAACTTCTGATTCCTGTCTTTTGTCCTTTATTTTGAGATTTGGAATATTTTCGACTATATTCTAATGATAGAAACTATAATGTATACTTCTTTTTATGCAGTGTAGTAAGCTTTAATATAGTATTGTAGGAGTTAAAATTCCTTCATGATGTTAATTCAGAAAAGTAGTTGGAAGTTGTTAATAACTGCCAGTCTTTAAAAAAAAGGTACTCTTCTGTTATCAGGACCAGATTCAGAAGTCTATGTATGTATGTACATGTGTATATATGTATGTGTACACACACAGGCACATGTATGTACCATAAGTACAAAGCCTACATGAACATATCCATTGATACATTGATTGTCTTGCCAGATAAATTCCTTAAATAAAGAGTCATTTGAAAAGAAATTTAGGGATTTTACTTTTAACCCCTTGGGTACGGATTTATTTGAGAAAATATTTGCATGTAGAACGGATATAATTTTTGGTTGCCATTCATCAATAGCTACTTCACTATCAGGAGTATAAAGGTAACAAAATTTATTATTTAGGTAATCCACTATATTTCTAATCTTTCTTATTCTGTCATCTTTATTTTCTTTTTCATTATTCATAAAATGTAGAAAGCCTGAAATATCAAAAAACCTATCGCGTGCCATAATGCTGGCAAAAATTGGAGTACTTATTGCATACCTTTTTGACGAATACATATGCATTTTTGGCTTCTTCATTTGCGACATCAAGATGTAATCATATGCATCTTGAATTTGATCAAGATCATAATGCAGTATAAGCTTTCATTTCATCAGAACTTACAGGAAACCACTTTTTTTTTTTTTTTTTTTTTTTTTTTTTTTTTTTTTTGGTTACACAACCTTCTTTTTCTTTCCCTTGTCTGGCATATCTATTCATCTCTCCTACTATAGTGTCCCAAAAATCTTCATTCAAGACTTCTTTTAAAACATCTAAAGGCATAGGATTACCACGTAGTCTATGCAGGCTCAAAGGATTAATTCAGATATTTCAGAAAAATTTTTTATATCGGCTACATTTTCTTCTTCTTAAATCCATTCCTCTGATACTGGTCACGAGAAGATTCATTATCACTGTTCGATAGACGTCTTGTGCGTCTTCGAAACCTTGATATTATATTACAGTTGTCATCATTTTCTAGTTCAATAGCGTCTTCATCACCTTCGCTTTGTATTTCATTGTAATTGTCAATTTCAGGATCACTAAACAATTCTTCTTTAAGTTTCTCAAAGTCACTTTCGCTATCACTATCATAAAATATATTCCTTGTTTTTCACATAATGGGGCAGTGTATCGCAAATAATGTTCCCCGAAATACTGTAATTGCCTCTTCTATTATGACTGATACAAGCTACAATGAAATGAACAGAATTGTGCCTAACTTCAAATAACGTAGACTCGTCATCCGCTCCTAGGGAAAACAAGTGAATGGCATCTCTCAGACGTTAAATGTACCCAAGAGTTTAATTTTTGGTTGACGTCTTAGACACGTCATCCGCTCCTAGGGGGGAAAAGTGAATGACATGTCTCAGATGTCAAATGTACCCAAGGGGTTAACCTTTTCCTTAAGGGCTGGGACATATACGTCCCGAGCTAAGTGCACAGCAACTGGCGGCTCGAGACAGTTTCTGGCTGGTGCAAGGGTAGTAATTCTAGCACTTGAGGCTTGAAGACTATTTTACCACACCTCGGAGGGTGCGTTCTTTTGAGGGACTTTGCTATTGAGTAGGGGAAAATTGTCTGTATTTGGCTTGTTTGCGAATTTGGTATCTTTCAGGAAATATTTTGTTGAGAGGACAAAATAAAAAGAATAAGTTGTTACTTCTCGCAGTTTGCGTTTTAAGATCTTAAATTAGTTTTTTTTTTTTTTTCTGTTGCACTACTATTAAATCTTTCACTTGATATTTATCACTTTTTTTAGTTCAATTTTAAATAATGACCAAACATAAAGGAAATTTTCTTTGTTTCATTCTTTTCATAATATTTTTTTTCAATTTATTCCAGTTTTTAATGTGCATTTAAAGGCAGTGTAGTGAATATAAACGTTTCAGGTGATGAAAAATAATTTTAATGTTATTTCTAAATAGCATACATTCCACGACTACTGTTTACTTCAGTGAAATTTTGGTTTGTTGTGTTCTAAATGATAACTAACAGAGCGAATAAAATTTCTTTAACACTGATAATTCAACCTGGATTCAAGTTCCAATGAACGGAGTGACTGCATGAACTTTTCTTGTTCTCCCATATATGTGAAAGGTATGTGAGCCAGTTTCCTTCGAACGTCCTCTATGAAAACCCCCTTCGCTTAAGATAACCTTTTCTTTAACCCAACAAATAAAAATAAAATTATATTTGAAATAAGAAAGCTAACTTTATGAGCGTGAAATAACTATGTTTAGAAAAACTTTCTTTTATGAATAATTTTGATGACAAAATAAATTTCAACTCTGCTACTAATGAAATACGAATTTTTATTGAAGCAATTAGTGTAGAACATTTTATAATTAAAAATTTAAGAAAGTTTCAAAACCTATTAATTTATCAGTTGTTATATGTTTGCATCTATATGATAATATCTGTATCAATATGTTCATAAAGTAGATATGTTAGTTTAGGTTAATTGGACATGGGAAATCACACGAGGCTGCCTACCTAAGGAAAGGATGCCTTCATGGAGAACTTTTAAAGGGAACTGGCTCGTATTCACATTTCACATGGGAGAAAACAAGGAAACCAACTATGCAGCCAGCCCGATCGCCTGGCCTCGAACTTAAGTCGAACTACCAGCATTCAGCTGTCTTGACCACTGAGTCACATGTAGTGTTAAGAAAGTAATTAATTTTTGTGTGAGAATTGTGTTTTGGAGGGAATCAAACAAGATATTAGGATACTAAGCATGTATACAGGAATTCAGATCTGTACCATTTTTTAGTTCTCTGAAATTAATTCTCATTACGAATCTTTATTAATTCTCATCACCTTAATACAAATTTTCATTCTCAGCTTCATTACTAAAAAAGAAAGCAACAATAAAAAGCTTGATCTGAAAATTTTGCATAACAATCTGATACCTAAGGTGATTTTAGCTTTCTGAAAATCCAGCATAAAAAACTGGAGAAATATTTCGCCATCCAACAAAGATCTTTATTTATTTATTTTTTTTTTTTTAATTTTAATGCGTTCCTGAATATGCAATTTTTGTGTCCAAAGATACAATGCAGCAGCAATATAAATTAATGAACAACTATTTCCCTTCTATGCTAAGGTAAAAGTAATATCTCTAAGTGATAAAATAATTTTATTGAATACGTTAAAACTCAACTCAACAAGGATTTTAATTTCTAAAGTTCTACTTTTGCATTTCTTTCCTGAACTTAAAACTATGAAGCGGTTAAAAAAATTAAAGATCTTATATCTCTGATACAAAGGCAGATCAAGCCTGGGACCACCGCTATTTGCAACTTCACATAGAAGAAAAAAAAATTTGAAAAATATTCTTGCCTTGTGCATTGGTAAATTTTTGTTGTGCACGTATTGTTCAATAATGATTCAATGCAGCACAAATGCAGTGACCAATTTTTATTTCTCCAGAAATGAATTTTACCAGAGGTGTAAAAGCAATAACGCTTATTTGGGAATTCGAAAATGCTTTTTAAATGACGCTTGTAATAAATAAACTCTGTTTAATTTGCTCTTCAATATCAGAATAATTATATTACTTAAAATGAAAACATATATATTGTTTGAAGGAAATATTTAAATATTTTAAATCACCAACTTCTCTATAGTATGACATATTTAATATATTTAACATTGATTGCTTCTTTTTCAGTACATAATCCATGTGCAAGTGTAAAAAATTATTTTAATCATAAAAATGAAACACTTTTTTTGGGGGGGGGGCAAAATTTTTTAGTTGTAGCATACATGTCATCTGAAGATAAAATAATAAATTACGTTTCCTGGAAAATTGCATTCATCTGTGTGAAAGTGATTAGAATACTCCCCCCTTCTAACGCCTGGAGCTTTGGAACTGGACTGAAAGGAAATACTGACCGTTTCCCTGCCTGTCCACAAAAGAGCACTAATTACTTCATCATTACGACTCAATTTGATAAATTTTCCCCCCTTTCCATAATGGCAGAACCAGCAGCCCCCAGTGAATGAACACAACTATTTTTCTAGCGAACGGGGGAAAAAGTTTAAAGTATTGGACTGTGCTAGGAAACATCTAATTTTGCGCTGTCAGGATAAATCTAATTTTATGTTAAACACGTTGAACAGTTATTGTTTTTTAGAAAGCCAAGATGATTAAGGAAATTCGAGGAAAGGAATCAAATATTTATAATGAAAGTATTGGTGTAATTACTGAATAAACTAATACAAATTAAAGAAATGTCTTTGAAATATGGTGGTATTGTTATAAGATACGATTACGTTCATGTATAAGAATATTTAATTTCGTTGTACAGTTAGCTGTAAATGCCCACTTAAGTTTTGCTTGTACAATATAAAAGGATGTATTTAGTAATATGCACTTCCCTCATCGGAGTTTATTTAGCAGTTTATACAAGGTTACAAGCAGTAATGTTTTAAAAACATGTAAATATGAAAAATTTAAAAAGTATTTCTTTTCTAATCTGGTGCAAACCATAGTCAAAAGATATGACAAAAGGAATAATTAGAAACCTTGAATGTGTAAATGTTGGAGTAATTTCTAACATTACATAGTCATAAAAAAAAAAAAAAAAAAAAAAACCACCTTCAGATCTCCTTTATTATAAAAACTAAAAATAAAAGCAATAATGATGGGAAATAAAATCAATGAGTGAATTAACTCATTAGGAGGCAGCATACGTGTAATTTCATTAACCTTGAAACCTGACCTTGCCAGTTCACTCTTGAAAAAAAAATTTAGCAAGGTAAATGACCAAAATAAATCATTAAGATTGAAGTTAAGGTCTCTTTGTGCTGCACTAGAATGATTCTAATAATTGATTAATAAAGTGTAGCAAAAATATATTAAAGTACTGTTAAAGATATCCTAAAGCAGCCAAAGTACAATAAAAATATATGAAATGTAAAATCAACCAACAAAAATGAACAACAAAATTTGTAATTAAAGTAAATGTGTATAATTAGTTAAGAAGAAAGAATCAAGAGATTTAATACATACCTTCTTATTGTGCTGTGTACACATTTGATTAACAGCAAGAACGAAAGTTTGAATTTGTACCATTAGTTTTAGTAGTTAAAATTAAATGCACAATGTGATCATATTGTAGAGAGTGTATCAAAACTATTTTCTGAAAAGGGGGCCGAAATGAAATTACAAATATTTCTGATAATTAGCAAAATTCAGATGAGCTCTTTTTAAAGCTGTATTTTGAAATGTGTATGAAACAGTAGAAAAGTAACAGAAGGGTTCTAGAATTAAATGTCAGAATAAGGTTCATATACAGAGTGACCCAACAGTCAGACTATGTTCTTTGTAACTTATGTTCAACATGTTGGCTGTCATTCATCAACAATACATGTAGTCGAGAGACAATGTTGTGAACAGCACTGTACAGCATACCTGTAGGTATGGTGAGAAATTGCCATCGAATTTTGTCTTTTAGAATCCCAATTGAGGTTGGACGATCTCGGTAGACTTGCGATTTCAGGTAACCCCACAACCAATAATTACACAAATTGAGATCTGGGGAGCTGAGAGAACAAGCATGACAAATCTGACTGCTCAGTGTGTCCGCATGCGTTTTTAACCCATCTTTAATTTTCACCACCATTGATTGCATACCTGTACTTCTAATTACAGAAATATTTCAAATGATGCAAATATTCATGTTTTGGCATCTAATTAATTTTGCGTATGATTATTAGGTAATGATTCTGAAGTAATATAATACTTAAACATTTATACTTGTCACAAAGTTTTAAATTAAACCATTTTGCACACTAGGAAATCAAGGGAAAAAAAATTGCTGAATGTCATTTAAGGGGGAGAAATCAACCTCAAATGATTCTCCCCCCCTTTTTTGTTAACTGACCCCTCAAGGCAGGTTGGAAACAATATGAAATATACTGAATTTTGAAAAAAATTCTTGCTTAGTTTTGGTCGTGTGAGAAACAAACTTTTTGTGCTTTATAAGTATAAATTTTTTCTAATTGTAAGTACAGGGATCAAAGGTAAAAAGTTAAAGTAGAAAGAAGTTAGATTTCATAATTTTTATAAAATTGATTTTTATAAATTTAAAAATCTTGAAACAAATCTTTGTGTCATTTATAAAACACTGTAATTTAAAGAATATGTTTATGACTAGTGGTTGTGAAAATAAAGACCTTGGAAAGCCTTTTGTGAATATGGTGTATATATTAAGTAGAAATCTGATAATGTACACACCTTGGGATCAAGGCTTGCGAGGATTAATTAATTATGAAGATTGTAAATGTCTTTCCGAGTTTTGCTTACATTTTCCTTTTTTGATTTTTACATTAAATTTGGTTTGTCACTTAGCTAATAAAATTATACTTTATGAATTATTTAATTAGGATTTATTCAGTATAAAACTTTTATTTTTAAATGTATTTATGTGGAAAGAAAATGTTTTCTCAAAGGGAAAACATTATGGGAAGAAAAAAGAAGAGTAAACAATAGGGGTGGACTCTTTTGTAAGAAGGCAAAAATGCTTTATGTAAAAAATTTTGTAAGTAAAGTTCCATTTAAAACGCATTTGCTAATTTGTGATTCATGAATATTATAAAAAAGAGAGTTCTGCAGAAATGTTAAATAACTTGAATAATAAAATTAAATAACTCCTTTAATCAAAATGTGTTTTAAATGTAATGTAATTTTTGCCAAAAAGTTTTTTTTTTTTTTTTTTTTTTTTTGTACATTTATACTAGATAAAATTCTTGCTAAATTTTCATTGCCAGATTTTCTGAAAAATTGAAATTTTGATTATTAACATTAGAATTGTACTATATATATGCTGGGTGATTAAAAAATATATGGTAGAAAAGACTGAAGTAAGTAGATTTCATAATGGAATGTGTGTGCTGAAATGATGCATGATACAGGGTACTGTTGAGCTGTTGGTAAAAACAGTCTCCTGGCATAAATTGTGATTTGCACAGAATTTGACTTAAGGCATAGTTACATGAACACTGAGCTCACCGACGGGTATTTTATTCATGAGGCTGTGGACAAAAATGAAGCATCTACTCAAAGGAGGAACAGAGAACAATACCCAAGTACTTGTAAACAGCTGCTCCATTTCTGGCCACAGCCCCATAGATAAAATGTGTCTCAGTGAGCTCCATGTTCATATAAGGATGTATGCCACTCAAGATTCATGCTGGGATTAATAATTTATTCACCCTTCAATGCCCTATATGACCTCAAGGTGCTATTTACATGCATGGGCTTCATTCCAAAATCTGCTGATTTCAGTCGTGTGTACTTGCCTGTACATTTTCGCCATATATTTTTCAGTCGTTCTGTGTATGTATACTTAAAAATAAATTGATTTGGCTAAAAATTTGTTATATTTTTATGAAGTTATATTTGGTTAAATGTTTTTATTATGGGACTATATTTTGTTAAACCCTTTGAGATAGATATTTGGGTGATTTTTCTTGGTACTTAATTGCATTTGGTGCACCTCTTCATTTGAATAGCTTCTTTACATAATTATGCATTCTGCACACATAGGGAAAGCTGAAAATGACACCAGACGAATACAAACAAATCAATATGACATTGTTGTAACAGCTTATACAGCAGTAAATAGGCTTGCCAGTAAAGTGTACTATGAAAATTATACCAGTTCTGAAACTAACTAATTCAGTTTAAGACGTGTATTGTAACTGTTGTCATTGCATTTATGTTCCTAAAGTGTATACCAAGGTTTTTCATTTTTAAGGGGAATGATAAATAGACTGGTAAAGTGTCTTCATTATTGTGGCATTTATTATTATTATTATTAGAAAATATTTCAAAGTAAAAGAATATATTTTTTTAATTTTTTTAGATACATCTGATTGTGAAGTAGCAGATCCTGATGGAGTTTTATTTTCACCAATCTATCGTTTATTAGAAGGTATTTTTTCCCCCTACATTAATGTACATTTTGAGAAATGAAAAAATATTTATTTGTATGCATACTTTAAAGACCCCCTTTTTAAAATTGAGTTTTGCTTAGTCGTATTGAGTGCTTTGATGAAATAATTTTGATGACTGTTACATGAAGTTGTTTAAACTAAAATTTAAAGTGTAACTTTATTTCTTCTAATTTGTTTGATAAATTTCTCTTCGTGAACAGTTATTTTTATCTTACAGGAAACGTCTTCCAATCTCCAACTCCCAGTTTTTCTAGAAAATATGTATATCACTACACATTCTGAAATACACAATAATAAAACAAGTAGCTCCTGATATTCTATAACTTAACGGTTAAAAAATTATAAAAAATAATGAGATGTGGCAATACATTATTTGGCAACTTTCTAATATATGCAGTTAAAATATGAAATAATGACTAAAGAGGTAACAAGTGATTTATATCTATTTGGCTGTTAGTGCACAGTAATTTAAAATGGAAAGTTAAATAGAACTGATTGAAGTTAATTTTTGAAAAATTAGGTTAGAATACTAGAAGTTCTGGGAATAATTTTATTTTGAAAAGATGTCTCTATAATACTTATTTTAGCACAGTGCAAACAATAATATTTTACATGATAATAAATAGTCTTATTTCAGGGCTTAATGTATAGGACGGATGAAGGACAGTAAATAATGACAAAGCAATAATCTATTTTACGGCAGTTGCAGTAAGCAAAATGAATCAAGTTAGAAATTTCAGAATTACAAGAACTCTCTGATGGCCAAATGGTAAAACCGCTGAATGCAGATAGCCTGAGGTGCATTCAAATTATGTAGAAAGAACTGATTGCAAGAAAGTTTTCCACAGGGTTAATGGAAATATGAGCCATGTACCTTAAAATGATGTTCCGTTTCTTTTAAATTTTCTCTGCCATCTCCAGACTTTTGGAGCTCTTTCTATGCTGCAAATTTTTTATTTCCCTAACTTTATTTTGGACAAGCTAATTATATATATATTTGTCTTATGCCGCAGCAGACTACTTTTTTTTTTTTTTTTTAATAATCCTACAGTATATGATTGATATTTTTTTTTTTTTTTTTTTTTTTTAAATTCATTATTTGATGAAACATTTAGGAGTGCACTTTCACACATGTTATCTGATTCATTTTTACAGCCAGTGTCTTCATTTGATGTGGAAGATTTCTTCTATTACTTCAACCATAATTTTTCTTGAGCGTGTTTATATTCTTCCAGTATTCTGCATTTCAGATTTTTTTTTAGTTAAATATTCTGTTGGATAAAATGTTAATTTCAATTTTATGCTATTTATTTGTAGTTTAAAATTAAAAGCATAATTCAGTGTCAACATAATTTTTAGACTTTGACAATGAGGCTTGACTGTAAGTTAAAATAAAATTATTTGCAGTTTGTGGAAAAAGAGATTTAAAAGTAATAATTGCAGTTTGCAGCCCAAATGCGGCAATTCTGTGTGTTGACTGTCCCATTGAGGTAGAAATGAGCCTCATCGCTCCACAGAATATTCCAAGGCCATGACAGATCAACAGTCATAAACTGGCTGCCCCCAAGCTAATGATGTCTGTGTATCAACAGCTGTCTTAACAGCATCAACAAGTACTAGTGTGACACGTTTACGGCCTCATCCAGGTTGAATTCCTATTTTTCTGTTTCCTCAAATTTCTTAATCATGGCCCGGGTAACTTTAGTAGATATTGGTCCACACCATTGGTTTTTCTATGACGAAATTCATGAATTGCACCAGAAGCATTCCCCTTGTTTTCGTAAAATGGCTTCACCAATAATGCATGTTCAACTAAAGAGTCCTGTAAAAATTTGAAAATATAATTTGATTTTTGTTGCTTGACTTCTAAATTAATATTTCTTCCATGTGTTATTGTATCTTAATGTAGTGCATTTCAAGAATAGCTGTAAAAAAGTGTAAAAAAGAATTAAGCTGCATGATTTTAGATGAAGAATATGTAAAAAACGGGTGACTTTAATACGGGACATTTAAACCAACTGTGAAAGAATTACAGTGAAACTTGTCATGCACCTACTTCCCATGAATAACCAGTATTTCTCAGAACATAAAGAAATATCTCTATTTAACATCTTTCTGGTGTGATCATCTCAAGAGACCAAAATCATCTGGAATTGTGGATAGTAGTCTTAGGTTTTATTGCATATATATTTATTTAGCTGTGATACATTTTTAATCTGTAACAATTTTTATACACATATATCTAAAAAATGAGGGGAAAAGCTCTTCTTTTTCACACAAAATTTTAATGTGTGATTTCGCTGTTTTTGCATGTATTTTTATATGCACGTGAATTAATTTTGTTATTATTTATTCTAATTATTATATGTGGTAATTCTTTTATGCAAGTCGTAGTTTAACATTGTGGATGAAATTAAATCAAGGAATGTTTTTGAAGGGAAGGAATTAAGATAGTTTTAAAATTCGGGCTCATTGTGGGTTTTTTTTTTTTTTTTTTTTTTTTTTTTGGGAGATTAGTATACAGCTGGTGAGGCTTATTAATATACAATTTTCTTATTTTAGAAGAATCTGCAAATGATACTAATGGTCAGTCTGGGTTAAATGAGCAGCTGCTTTGCAACAATAACTTGAATTCAACAACTTTGCCATATGATGCTGAATACCCATCTCCTGAAGAAGCTGAAGTTGCTGAAGACTGGGAAAACACATTTGATCCGTATGATGTTTAGTTTCTAGTTTACTTGATCAGTTGTAATTATTGAAAAAGGCTTTTAGTAGAGCAGTTTTTTTTTTTTTTTTTCCTCCTAATGGGTTTTGAAGTTCATGTAGGTTATTTTACAAATTTTATAGACTTTCAGTTTTTTTATTAAAAAAACTAAAATATTTCTTTTGTTTCAGTTGCTGTTTTTCTTGTCTAACAAATAAGTTCTTAACAGTGCACATTTTCTTTCAGCTGAATGTTGTTTTCCAAAACAGATGTTTACATTCAGAAGTACTGTAGTCATATCTATACCATAATTAACATTTAATTTTAATCAAGTGTTTTGCCTATTGTCTTGTTTTCAAAATAACAGAAGAATTGCTGTGTACATATTTTCATTTGTCTTTCATTGTAGCCATGTGCATACATTTATGTGTCTGCATGGCATTGTTCCTTATTTTCATTCCATATAGTAATAACTTAGTAGAGCATAAATGTTTCTTTTTGTATTACAGTAGCAGACAAAATCCACACAGCTCTGAATAGTGCTTTTCAGATTTCAGATCATAAATGAAAAATCATTAGATTTAAACTGAAAAAGAAATTTTAATAAAAATAAATTTAGAATGTTCTTATATGGGTCCTTCCCTCAAATTATGCAAACTAATAACTTCCTGATCAGTCACAAAGTTTTGTTATAAACTCCCTGCTGACTTTTTACTTCCTTGTACAAAGTAAAGGAACTATGGTAATCATGAAAAATTCCAGGTACCATATTTCCACACGAATTATAAAACCGATTTTAAATGGATTCAGAAGAGTTTTTTTCATGGTGTCCGTACATGTGTTTGTATGTATCTCGCATAACTCGAAAACGAAAATAGCCTCAGAATGTTGAAATTTTGTATATAGGACTGCTATAGCATTTTTCACCTCCCTTTTTGGTGGCAGTCAGCCGTACCAAAAGTATATACAGTCAAAAGTCTTTAATCCGGACTCGTCGGGACTTTGGCGATTCCGGATTATCGATTTTTCCGGATTATAGATCATCAGTTTAAATCTGGTAAGATGGCATGCAGAAATTAATGAAATTAAAAATATGAAACCGTAATTTATGAAATAAAAAGCCATTATGATCTAAAGGGTATCAAAATTTACAAAAAAAAAAAAAAAAAAAAAAAAAAAAAAGCTTAATATTTATTATTTTACTTTATTAAACATTTCTTTCAACTAGCGCATGTGTAAAGCATACATTATGCATAGTCGAAATTAGAAAATTGCAACCAGAAAACTATTCGATGTGTACTTGTGATATTTATAATGACGAGAAATTTGATTTAAATCATATCAAAGACGGAATACATCGAGATGAAATACTACATTTAGTAAGGAATTATAAGCTGAATAAAATCAAAACAGCTGCCCTGAAGATAAGGATAGTGCTGACAGATCAACTTCCAGTTCATTGCTTGCCGCGACGTTCCCCCCCCCCTTGCAGAGCAGCATGAAATTGATAAACAGATTTCGGAATGGTTAGAGAAACAAAAAGGATATGCCTTTATCCATTTTTTGCAGCAATTCCACTGTTTGTTTGATGGACATCGAAACATACTTTCGCTTTGCAGATCCTTTACATATTAGTAAATATATATTCGGAAATTATATTTGACATAATCGAAAGTTCAAGCTTACTTTTATAAAATTGCTCTAACAGTCTGCAAAAAGTAATAAGCCAGATCCAATTCGAAGATTAAGGAATAACACAATCTGCAACATTAACTGAAATAGATAATTTTTGCGTATACCGTCCGTTATACATTAAATGCACTTCGCATATGCGCAGTCGTAAAGGTCTTATGCGCATGCGCAGAAAGTTTGTAGCTTTGAGATCCGGATTATAGATCATTCTGGATTATGGGTGTCCGAATTAACGACTTTTGACTGTATATGTAAACATGGCATCCAGGGGATTTCTAAGCTGACGATACAGATCTAGGTAACTAAGTATTTTATTTAGCAATTGGTGGAGATGATACATTAGTGACAATTTACAAATGAAAAAAAGAGTGATTGAGAGGTTTTATCTTCAGAGTTTCCAACTCTCCCGATTTAGGTGGGAGACTCCCTATTTTCGACTGCTCTCTCCGCCAACCCGATTTACAATATATTTCTCCCGACATTTTCTCATTCATAAAATTTCTCACGATTTTCATGGAACTTTGCTTAATACTTCGTTATATGAACAATAAAAAAGTGATTTTGGATGTCTGAAAGCAATGGAATTTTCTCTAGATTATATCTAAAACAAAACCTTGCGAATGAGATGTGAACTTCTGCTTTGTGAGTGAACATCATTCTCCAATGGGTATCGAGCTCCACTGCGTGTCATCTGTCATATATTAGCCAATGAGCACGAAGCAAGCTGTTTCTTGGATGTTCTTTAGTTATTTTGTTCATCGTGTCCTGAGTTGTGTGAATACACATGTCTTCGGGAAATAGTTTTAGAAATTATCATCTTTTGTTATGTCTGCGAGAAAGGTGAAATACTCAACACATTTCAAAAATCGTACACAGTTGACTTTCCTTCCATTTTTTTTTCAAAAATCGGATGGTGGAAGGGCAGATGTTCTCAAACATGTACGTACACAAAACACAAGGACAACATGAGTTGTTTTGAAAAAAATGAAACAATAAATTTTTCTTTGGAAACAAAGGACCAAAAAGTTATTAATGGAGAATGTCTGTTCTCTGCCTTTTTACTGGAGCACAACCTGCCACTGAATGCATCGGATCACGCTGCAGCTTTATTTAGAAAAATGTTTCCCGATAGTGAAATTGCTAAGAAATACTCAAGTGCAAGAACCAAAACAGGTGCAATTGTTAAAGAAATGGGTTTGAAAAATAAATCTTGAGTTACTGATTGCATTAAAACAGCTCCATTCTGCCTCTCTATGGATGGAAGCAATAATACTGATTCAAAACTTTATCCAATTGTTGTTTCATTTTTTTAATCAGAAATTGAGTGCAGTTTACTTTCTGTTACCACTTTAGAAGGACATTTGACAGGCTTTAATATAGTACAGCTAATTATTAAAACTTTAAAAGAAAATGCAGTCCCTCTGGCTTAGCACTTGGTGCCGATAATGCATCAATATTGGTAGGCTTGAAGTATGGTGTTCGGGTCGCCAAGAAACCCGAACAAGATAGGAAATAATGATTAGATAAGCCACTTTGTTGCGATGTAATGTGAAGGAACTAGATACCCGTCCTCGTTTTAAACACAAACTTATATTAAATAATTGCACAATACAAGTATAAACAAGAAAATGACATATAAAACTTACGAGAACAGAACAAAAATAGTGAAGAATAGACAGCATAGCAGCTGCCTTGCGAATGCGTTCGTCTGAGTCTGACTGTTCAACTGAATTAAATGTTCTTTGGCATAGTTCCAAAAGCGAAAGAGTCAGGTTGAGTTGTTCTGTTCCGGCGCACCGGAACATACTCCCACCCTATCAGGCATTAGTCCTGATATATGGGCAAAGGTGCTAATTTATGAATGTTTCTTTTGAAAAAAAGAGTTTTTAGTTTTAACCGTGGCCACACGAACTAGTCCGTCAGCACCATGATGAAGTTCGACCACTTGTCCTAGTGGCCAAGAACCTGGAAGATGACCATCATCTAGTAACAGGACGATGTCTCCAATTTTCATATTCGGCTGAGTGTCCTTCCATTTCTTTCTGGTTTGAAGAGAAGATAGATATGCTTTGGTCCATGATTTGCAGAAGTCCTTGCGCATCTTTTGAAGGAGATCCCACCTATTCCGTATATTGGCAGGACTAGTAAGAGGTAGTTCAGGAGGGGATAGGATCACGTCTCCTGTAAGAAAATGTGAAGGAGTGAGAATATTAATGCAATCAATGTCAGTATTGTTTACACTACATAACGGACGAGAATTTAAAATGGCTTCTATCTGAGCCAATAGAGTTGTCAATTCTTCGAAAGTAAGTAGCGTTTCACCTATTACTCTTTTACAGTGATATTTGGTTGATTTAATTGCGGCCTCCCAAATTCCTCCGAAATGAGGAGATGCTGGAGGTATAAAGTGCCATTCTATTGATGCTTGAGTTAAATGATGAGCAACGGCTTCGTTCTTAGGAAGTGAAGCCCACAATCGTTGTATTTCGCTGAGCTTTTCGATTAGCCCCAACGAAGTTTGTTGCATTGTCGCTGTAAATGTGACTTGGAGCTCCTCGTCTAGCACTGAAGCGACGCAAAGCAGCTAAAAATGCATCAGCGGTTAAATCGCTCACTGCCTCGATGTGTAGTGCCTTAGTAGCGAGACAAATAAATAGAGCAATGTAACCCTTGGTTGATTTTGCTCCACGACCCTTGTTGAATTTGATTGAAATAGGACCGGCATAGTCCACTCCGCAGTTGAAGAAAGGCCTCTCGAGTGTTACACGATGCTTAGGTAGATTACCCATAAGCTGAGATGCGGTGGATGCTTTAAATTTGAAGCATTTGATGCATTTGTGAACACATTTATTAATGAGCTTTTTTCCACCTATTATCCAATATGATTGTTTGATAATGTGGGACAGTAATGAAGCACCAGCATGTAAATAAGTCACATGCTTTTCTTTTACGATGAGCTCACTTATCTTGTGTTTAGCAGGTAGAATCACTGGGTGCTTTTGATTAAAAGACAATTCTGAATTTTGTAAACGCCCTCCCACCCGTAAAAGACTGTTTTCATCTATAAACGGATGGAGGGAGTGTAGCTGACTTTTCTTAGGCAACGATCTTTGATTTTTAATGCATTTTAGGTCTTCATTAAAATAATCTTTCTGAACCCATCGAATTATGATTATTTCTGCATTTTTAGTTTCCGTGTAAGTGAGTGGAGAAAAGGAATCAGTTATAAGTGTTTGACATTTGTTATTGGTTTTGCACTTATTGATGAATCTTAAACAATATGCTAAAATGCGTATAATCTTAGAAAATGATGAATATTTTTCAAATAAATCACTATATAATTCATTTGATGTAGCACTATGAAATGAAAATATAGGATCAGATCTTTGTTCAGCTTTAATTAGATCCTTGATTTCTTTGGAAGCGGATTCCTCTTTCGGCCAGTGAGACGAATCCAAAAAAAGCCAACTTGGGCCATTCCACCACAAGTTGCAATTAGGAAGACATTTGGGATCAATACCACGCGAAGCGATATCTGCTGGGTTCTCTTTGGAAGGGACATGCCTCCAGTATTTTGTTGGAAGTACTTCGATTATTTGAGACGTCCGGTTTGCAACAAAAGTCTTCCATTTACGGGGATGTGCCGAAAGAGCCAGGAAAGTACGACTTTGGAGTCAGTCCAAGCGTAAACATCAAACTTATATTTTTTGAGAGTGTTCATGACTGCACGATATAACTTTGAAAGCAAATGAGCACTGCATAGTTCCAATTTAGGAACAGATACTTGTTTGATAGGTGCGACTTTAGTTTTAGAAACTAAGAGAGAAATCTTTTATTTCATTTCCGTGTATTTGTTTGCAATATATTGCAGCAGCGTAAGCAAGTGTTGAAGCGTCGCAAAAGCCGTGCAATTCAAATGTGTCAGAGGAAATAAGCGTGACACCTCTAGGAACGGTAAAATGTTCAACTGCATTGAAAGATTTCTGAAATTTAAACAAATCTTCAGCAAGACTTTGTGGAATAGGAGAATCCCAGTCCCCTTTTGTAAGCCAGAGCTTCTGATAAAAAATTTTCATTACAACAGTACATGGTGAAATTAATCCTAATGGATCGAAAATGCGTGCCGATTGGGACAAAATGTGTCTTTTTTGTCAGCGGTGAGGTGAGTGCAAGTGCGGGTTTGAAAATGAATGTGTCTGTTGAAGAGTTCCAAAATAATCCTAAGACTTTCGTGCTTTCCTTATCATTAGGAATTATTTCTAAATTAGTGTCCGTTGAACAATGTTCTTGAAATTCTGCAAGAAATGCATTTGAATTAGAATTCCACTTTCGTAGGTGGAAACCGTGTGTTTGTAAAATATTGGTAATTTCCTTACAAAGTGATATTGCATCACTATCGGTACTTGAACCCGATAGCAAATCATCCATGTATACATCGTGTAGTAAAGTATGAGAAACAGCACTATTTTGTGAATAATCTAGTGCAATTTGCTTAATGCACCTAGTGGCTAGGAAAGAAGCTGGAGCTAAACCATATGTTACGGTGTTTAACTTGTATGTGCGTATTTCTTCGTTAGGATTAAACCTCCAAAGAATTTGTTGGTAGTTCCGATCCTCATCGGACACTAAAACTTGACGGTACATTTTCTCTATGTCTGCTGAAAAGACTATTTCCGGAAATCGAAAATTAAGTAAAATTTCGAAAATGTCTCGTTGCAATTTAGGACCAACACCCAAGATTGAATTCAATGATTTACCGTTGGAAGTTTTACATGAAGCGTCGAAAACGACTCTTAATTTGGTAGTTGTACTAGACGGCTTGATCACTGCATGATGGGGAAGGAAATATTGCTCATTCTGAAATCTATTTAAACAGTTTTGTGTGACCAATTCCATATGACCTAAATTTTCATATTCATGCATAAAATCCTTGTATTGGTTTTCAAATTCCGAGTTTTCCTTAAATTTACGTTCCATAGCATATAATTGAGAAAGTGCAGCAGCTGGTTTTGAATTACCTAATTCAGATTTAGATTTTAAAAATGGCAACTTCACCACAAAACGACCATCTGAATTAATTGAGTAATTTTCCTGAAAATGTGTTTCAACAAATTGTTCTTCAGGTGAGAATACAGTGTCAGTTGAATTTGGCACTTCTTCTAACTCCCAAAACCTTTTCAATTCGCTGTCAATATTTATTTCATAAATATGCAAGTTTGAAAGTGAATTTGATTTCGTTTGAGATTCCGGTAGTTTTCCGGATATGAGGAAACCAAAAATTGAGTTTTGAGCAATTAAATCACTTTGAGAACAAGTTATTTGTCCAGGAAGTAAAATAGAAAACAAGTAGTCAGATCCTAGAATAATATCTATCTTATCCGGAATGTGAAAATATGGATCAGCTAACTTTACATTTTTCAAATGCGAAAAGTCTTTCTCATTTATTTTTTGGCTTGGAAGCGCAGCAGTTAGTTTATCTAATACAAATGCCTTAATTGGCATTCTCACTGATGTATCATGGATTGACATCAACTCGATTTCAACGCAACCTTTTGTAACTGCGACTTCTGACTCAGCTAAACCCTTGACAGGAAAACGCGCATTTTTCCTTTTAAATCCCAATAAATTAATACAAGATTCAGATAATAATGTTGATTCGGAACCACTATCACAAAGCATTCTAATATTACGTTTTTGACCCATCGAATCAATTACATTTACATATGCAGTTGGCAATAAGCCAAAAGTTGTTTGAACGCTATTATTTTGAATTACAGTTCCGTTTTTGTTTTCATTCGTAGACGCAATGTACAGTTCGTGTTTCATTCGCGGTTGGATTCTTTCTTTGCTGTTCTGACTGAAAACTGGTCTCAGAAAGAGACGCAGATGTGGAATAACTTTTTAACTGATTTTCACACAGAGTACTATGATGCAATAACTGGCAATAATGACAACGATGTTGAGACATACATTCAGATTTTTTGTGCTGACTAGAAAAACAATTTAAACAAAGATTATTTTTCCTGACAAATTGATTTCTTTCTTTGACAGTTAGTGCTTTAAATTTGGGGCATTTGAAAAGAAAATGATCTGATTTACACATAATACATTTGATACTTTTGTTCACAGAAAATCTTTTAACACTAGGTTGAGTTTTTTCCCTTTCTTTTTCGTGGAAAATTTCTAAAGAGGAACATCTCTATCATTTATAAATTGAATAAACATTTCAAAAGTAGGAAATTCCATTCCACTTTTGCTGAAAACTCAGACCATTTTTTTTACATGTTTCGTTGTCAACCTTCTGTAATAAAATATAAATTAGCCAAACATCCCTTTCACTAGCTTTTAGATCAATAGATTTTAAACCTCTGATAATCTCACCAGAAGTATCGGCAATTTTTCGCAAATTGAGTTTGCATTAATTACAGAAGATTGTTCCATGAAAGTTTTTATTAGTGATGTGACAATTTGTTTTTTCTTATCATACCTAGATAATAATTTTTCCCAGGCTTCCATATAACTATTTTCTGAAATGGAAATATGTTTAATAATAGAAGCTGGTTCATCAGTTAATAAACCCTTTAGATATTGAAATTTTTGAATGTTGCTTAAATTTTCATTGTTATGCACTAATGATACATATAAGTCCTTGAAAGACATCCAGTTTCTGTAATTACCACTGAAGGATTCCATATTTATTCTCGGTAATTTAAAATTATTAGCGGTATTTGTAGTACTAGAAACTGGAATTTGACGTTCATTAACATTAGTAACTTGCATATTAATAGTAACATTTAATTTCTCAAGTTCCTGTTGTAGTTTGGCTTTGGTTTCATAATATTTTTTCTCAAATTCTTCCATTTCAGAACTTTCCAGCGGAAGTTCTGAGTCTGTCTTGTCAAAATCAGAATAAACGCTTTCAATTTTTTGAAGTATATTCATTAAATCGTATTTTTCGAATAACTGCTTATCATCATTAATGAAATTTGAAATTCTGGTAAGAGTAGCTTTCGCTCTACCTCTACTATTTTTTGCAATCTTAACCTTGTCTTCCATTATGACGTAATTGTGCAATGAAAAAAACCAAAGTCAAACTTGTAAAAAAGAAAAAAAATACTTATCTTGCTTGGCCTTTAAATGAAGTTCAAAGTTAAAAGTATCCAGTAGTATCCATTACTGTACCAAATGCAGCGTTGCAGTGCTGACGAAACCGAAATCAAAAGTCCTTTAATCTCGTCGGTGCCTGCAAAGTATTATGTTGCGATGTAATGTGAAGGAACTAGATACCCGTCCTCGTTCTAAACACAAACTTATATTAAATAATTGCACAATACAAGTGTAAACAAGAAAATGACATATAAATTACGAGAACAGAACAAAAATAGTGAAGAATAGACAGCATAGCAGCTGCCTTGCGAATGCGTTCGCCTGAGTCTGACTGTTCAACTGAATTAAATGTTCTTTGGCATAGTTCCAAAAGCGAAAGAGTCAGGTTGAGTTGTTCTGTTCCAGCGCACCGGAACACACTTATCTAATCATTATTTCCTATCTTGCTCATTTGCGGTTTTGCAGCTGAGGATGGTGGTTCGGTAAAACCATCGAAACTAGTCCTGTGAAAATTTTGTAAATATAACGCTGATTTTTGTTGTTTGACTTCTGAACTGGTATACTCTTAGGGACTTTATTTTAGTCTCAAACTTATTATATAAAACTTGTAAAAGTCCTTAATTTTCATGTGAAACATTCCTTAATTTCATTTATAGAGAAATGAGTATGAACACTGTGTTTCTTTCGTTATAAATCTGGAGTGCATGTATTTGTTGCATGGAGATTTTTATTGGATTACAAAAAAAGAAAATTATTGCAAGTTAGCATCCCAAAGCTCTATAAATTTAAGAAGTTATTTCAACCATGCATTTTATCTAAGATATATAACAATGTAACCTCACTTTAATAATGAGTAGAAATGGAAGCTGATATTATGCTTAAGTCTTGTCTTCATATACTTTTGTCCTTTATCCAATTCTTTAAAATATCTGTCAAATGAATGGTTTGAAGTGACTACTGATTTTGCTGACAAACTTCGTTCAGGAATATCACAACTTTAAAATTGTATAACTTTTGGTAAAGACTAAGCTGGGGTATTGGGAACTTGATATATGAATATGTGTGATTTTTTATTGGTATTTGAATAATAATGTTTTGGAAATCCAACAGATGTTTGCCACTATGTACTATCTGTCTGACTGTATGTTCCCCTTTTCATTCCCAGGTATTTTTTCATCAAACATTTGCCAACTTTGACTCCTGAAATGAGAGCCCGTGGACCAGCATTACCACTAAAAACAAGAAGTAGTCCTGAATTTACCTTAGTCCTCGATTTAGTATGGAATCTCTATTTTATTTATTTATTCATTTGTTACTGTTATAAATTGAAATCTCAAGTTATTTTATATCTCACTTCTTTTTTTTTTTTTTCTCTTTTCCCCTTTAAAGGATGAAACTTTAGTTCATTGCAGTTTAGAAGAATTAGATGATGCCTCATTTACATTTCCTGTAGTCTTTCAAGAAATTGAGTATCAGGTATTTTAAATTCTATGTATACATATAAATATCTGCTTACAGTTATGAGTTTTTCTACTGGCTTTATGAATCGCATAGATATTTGAAGCAACTATGAATTCCAGCCATTTATTTTCAGTTTTTAACAAATGCTTAATGCTCTTAAATTTGCCTGAGTTTGATCTTGCTATCCCGTGGGCAAAACTATGACTTGTTTTCTATAAAATGTTCTTGTGTTAATATTGAATCCAAATCAATACTGATATTAAAAGTTAATTTGTCAATACCTTATAGATGTTTTTCAAAAATTATTTTCAAGTAAAGTTCTGGTTGTTAGAATGAATATGTTATCCTCAAATTTAGTTTTCTGTATAATTTGTAATAAGTATATTCTGTGAATATTAAAAATAGTTGACGATCTATTGACTGTTATTATCAATAAGTTCATTTTCTTAGGAAAATTAAATGATGATTGCATCCAAAGATATACCTTTGAAAGTACCTTCTGTTAAACAATTGTTACTTTGTTAAAACAAATGTTGTATTATTAAAAGTAGACATGCTTATGTTAATAACATAGAGAGAATGCTGACAGAAAATAATTTAATATTGCTTTTATTATTCAGAGCAGATGGTTTGATAAATGGCTACTTATGCACTCCTTAAATTAGTACCTGGATTAAAACTAACTGAAATGCAACATTGTTTTGCATAAAATAATTATCTTAAATGTCAGTTTATAATTTCCAAAATGATTATAATATGCATCTTTCTACACTAAACTCAGAAGACGGCTGAAGTATTCTAAATGAAAAACGCTAGCAGCCTATGTCTAAACACCATAGTTTATGACATAGGTTGCTGCTTTTAAACCATTTTTGAATTAAAACACATTTTCCTGCATTTTTGGTCATTCTCCGTTTTATTGTGAATTTTTTTTTTTTTTTTCTGAAATTTTCCAAAACTTTAGACAAAATTGTCATTAATTTTAATGAAAAAAGACATAAAATACATAAAAAAGAACAAAAAAATACATAAAAATAATTAAAAAATCAAGTTTTTTAGTCATTTTACCTGGTACTCTTTTCAAGACCAAAAAATCAAATGAGGCGAAAAATATTAAAATTTAAGACAAAAACAATGATTTCAAGAGGGGGGATATTTCCCACATATATGAAAAGTTATTGGCATAATTTAAAATTAATAAAAAAGTGGTAAAAGGGCCCTTGGACACCCTCCAAGCTCTTGATTATATTTTGGGGGGGGCCAATTCGGAGGGTGTCCATTTAATTTTGATGATTTTTGTCCCTTCTCTCCTACAGATCAATCAACTACAACTGTAGTGAGACATTCACAGGAGAAATCTTTGCTCGGCTGAGCATCAAACTCATTTCATAGCACTATGATTTTTATAGTCGTGATTAGAAACATATAGCCACGGGGGATGATTGCAAACATGTTAATTTTATTTATAAACTTAAAAAGGTAACCTTCAATTACTTTTTTCGTATCTGATCTATAACGTATTTTTATTTATTTAAAATTTTGATTAAATTGCTTAAAATAATATTTCTAGACAATTTAAAGACTATTCTAGTTATTAAGACAAAAATTGCCCTCGTATCGTTGTTCGTATCGCCCTCTATTTAAAAAAAATAGCTACTAAAGTCTAAAATTCTTATTTTGTTTAACTGAAACCTTTAACATTACATTAATTGAAAAGTATTTGACAATTACAGTTTCCGTATCGTGTAATTTACAGAATATGCATAAAATATGCAGGAATTTTAAATATAAACAGGAAATTTGTGATGGGTAGATCTTAATGTTATTATGTTATCATTAGTATAAAGAAATAATGATTTGAACTCCCTTCTGAACTCGCATGATTAAATTTTAATAGTATTTAGGTTAGTATTTTTCATAGTACCAGTGCTGCCATCTATCATACTGATAATATCGTATCGGTAAAAGTGTAAATTAAAAACGATTTTTTAGAAATTAATTTTTTTGAAAAACTTGCAAAAAATCATCACATTTTTTAATTTTATTATTAAATAAACGAAACAAAACAAATCAAAATTTGTAGGTTTCAAGTTGGATTTTTAATTTTTGGAAGGTGTAAAAGCATTTAGTTTTAATATTAGTTTACTATCCTGAGTTATCTCGGGCAAATGAAAAATGTAGTCTTCGTATGATAGTTTTTAAAACAAGAGACAACATAAAGTGATACCTGACATTCTACACTAGTATCTGGTCTCTTTTCTTACTGGCTTACCGCTGGAATCTCTTTCACGGGAACACAGAGTACACTGTCTTGTTGGATTTGATTTTTTTCCCCCACCTCTTCATAATCACTATCTGAAAAATCATTGCTTTCGCTATCTTGCATCATTGCCATTATTTTATTTTTTTCAATGCATGTATTCTTCTTTATACATTTCTAATCCACAAACCGACGTATACTATACAATAGGGAAACACGTGAGCAGTCCCACCAAAAGAACCGTGCAACCAACAAAATTTGGCAAATTGCCAATCAAAGCTGAATATTTCCTTTCATTTCCTCCAGGCCGAGTAAAACCCTGACAAAACAAATCGTACTAACAAATTCTGCTTCACCTGAGTTTTCACGGGATAATAATTAACTGCAATATATACGAACACGAGATCACTTGGGATAATCAGGCAATCGGTTAAATTACTTACAGTTGTTACAGATTTGATTTCAGTTAAATCTAGAATTAAGGCAAGACAGTTTAATTCTAAAATGAAACAAATACTAATATTGCCATCTATTAATAAAATCCCAAAATTATTGCTTTTTTATAAAGTATTTGAAAGAAAAGAAATTTATGCAGGAATTTTAAATATAAATAGGAAATTTGTGGTAGATAAGATCTTAATGTTATTATGGGATCATTAATATAAAGAAATAATGATTTGAATTTGCTCTTAAACTCACATGATTAAATTTTAATAGTATTTAGGTTAGTATTTTTCATAGTACTAACCATTGCCATCTATCATACTGATAATATCGTATCTGTAAAAGTCTAAATTAAAAACGATTTTTTAGAAATTAATTTCTAAAACTAATTTTAAGACATATTATGACTCCCTGAAACAGAGGCCATATATATTTTTGTTTTATTTTTCATCCCCTGAAAGGGTGGACATTTTGTACCCCCTTTTTTCCTAAATTAAAAAATAAATAAAAATTTAAAAAATAAAGGGCCTCCTCTTTTTTTTTTTTTTTTTTTCCCTAAATTTTCTAAAGAGACTCAAATTTTAAAAAATCATGAAAAAATAGATAAAATTTTTAAGAAGCATATAAAATAAAGGGAGGGGTCTTAAATCTCCCCTTGAAAACTTTTATTTTAAAAGTTCACTCAAATTTTAACAAAAACATGACCCTTCTAGAAGGGGGTCATAATTTATTATATATTCTGATGATTTCCTAAAAATCTATTAAAACATTGAAATAATTCCAGGATGGAAAATGTTTCCCCACCCTGAAAAAATAATCTAATTCTTTTAGTTTATAGATATATTATCCATTTTTAATTCCTTTATAATGAAATATATAGCTTCCAAGATTAATTTCATTTATGGCTTTATCAGAAAGTTCTCCATTTTTTTAGCAAGATAATATTCTTTTGGTTCATTATCTACATCTAATTTAACCACTTGTGCTACGACTAAACTTCACGGTTGCGGTGCCGTTCGCTACAATATAACAAGCGGTAAAGTGTCTCATTTACTCCGCTCCGTGTCTGCGAGTGCAATCCAGAGCTGTAACTCAAGAAATAAACAATCTCATTGTTAGGCGATGTGTGCACCACGTTATTTTCATTTTTGCGATAAATGCCTATCGACGTGGTGTTCACGTCGCCGCGGTTTGAGACAAAAGCATCTCGACGTGTGTGGCACGTCTTTTTAGTGCAAGTGGTTAACAATGGTTGAATCTCCAAATTTTGTCTGAATTTGTCTCAATGATATTAGATCATATTTTCCAGGTTCTAAATCTTTCAATTTTAAGGCTTTTGGATAAGATTGGATAAGTCTATTGAATTCCTCCACCTCTATGTATATAGAATAATTTTTTTTTAATGTTTTGCTTCCTGGCTCATATATAATTTTTTCATGAAAATGTTTAATTAAAGTTCATGTTCTATATAAAAATGTATTTAAACTCAATATCATTTATTATATGAATAACAATATTGTACTATTATCACGAAAATTACGATCATAATCCGATCATAACTCCAGCCATTATAACCATTAATTTTTTTCAAAATCGTTCATAAACAAAATGAAATTATTTTTATTAAAATTTTTTATTCTATAATATGCATTGTAAATTCTATGATGTAAATCACAATTTTCTTTTGCAATTAAAAAAATCTTATATATACTTGCGATGTAAATTATTGACAGTATCTATTACACTATGAGTATATTCTGTTTAATCTGATTTCACAGGGTTTAAAATAACATGATTTGATTGACTGTGTATTTTTCCATTTATTAATAAAAAAAAGTTATATTATCTTTTGAAAATATTATTCCAGTAAACCTTCAATTTTTCCAAAGCCATTTCTAAATCAAGGGAAATCATATCAATTTCTGTAGTTTTTCAATATCATATTTATTAAGTATATAATGGAGAGTTTCTATTTAGTAGTAAGGACTTGATTCCGTACGGCATAAATTATCATATTCTTCTTTTAATAGGTAATGTATTCTTCTTAATTGATTTTCTATTTATTAGTAAAAAAGATCCGATTAATTTCCAAAGGATACAGTATGATAATTATCTAAAAGTCTTCTTTTATCAAAACTGAATGTATATTTTTATTCATATTATTTACTTTTATATCTCTATCTTTTTGAATTTTAAATTGACTAATTTCTACATCTATGTAATTAGTTTTTCCAGTTATTATTTTATTTCTTTCATCAAAATTGAGTTTATTTTCAGTTTCATGACTCATTTTAAATCCTTTCACTTTTTC